GACATGAGGCTCTTACTCCAAATGGAATGAAATAGAGCAGCTTCCTTCAAGAAGGGGCATTTAGGAAAAGGCCACAAAAGCACTGTATTAGTGAACTGGTAATTATTTCCATACTTTATTGAATGCTTTTAACATTCTACTTCTTCAATGACATTTCTAAAGACCAAGTGGTGTATTACTCATAGCATGTTGTTGACAAAATACTCTTCCCCATACATGGCAGCAATCACATTGATATGTCTTCTCTGGCTTATAAAACTTTCAAAGAAAGACTGACCATCCCCAGCTTAGTTGATGCTCACATGTAAATATTCACAAATGTAGACCAATGTCCACGTTGGAGTCACATCAATGCCAGTTCTTTCTATGTGGACTAACAATATACAGTAGAAGGCTATTTTGTAGCAACCCTCAAGGATCAAGTAACATAAAAAGGTCAACAGGTGTGGTCAGGAAAACAGGATAATATGTTTTCTTGTAAATTCCACTAAAATGGAAAGTTGGAGGTAATCTCGCTTTTGTCACACAATGTTCTGTTTGTTCTAATTCAACCTTTGCAATTTGCAAAAATACATGGGTCCAAAGTTAGCTGATAGATTAGGAAGGACGAGCTCTCCAAGTCTGCAATCTTGATAAAAGGAAAATGTGCTATGGAACAGCCTCCGAAAATAGCTTAAGTCTTCAACCTGTACTGTGATACCATGCTCAACTTTCAATAACTCCACAGCTCCCTCAACCACATATTCATTCTGGAGCTGCGACAAGGTGCATGTTGAGTACACCACTTCTCCTCCTGGCTTGGCAGCAAGGATTCCAGCTCTGGGAAATGAAGAGAAGAAAGGAGCATTGGGGAAATGGATGAGTTAGCACTGAAGCAAGCCATCTATTCAAGTCAAGTACTAATGCAAACAAGATATGGAATCCTTAAGTCAGACAATGTTCTGACATCCTTTATCTCTAAACTCTGGATCATACACTGTTCACTGCATCTTTGAGAATACAGAACGAACAGTTAAATGGCAAAGAACATCCCACTGCCCTTTAATCTCCAACATGCCAAAATAAATATTGTCATTTTGCTTTTCTAAGCAGGAATGGACAACAGGGCTTCATTCCTCCTCTGTGACTTATAAGTTACCAGTATCATTAATTTCCCCCATACCTGATGGCCTTGGTTTCCGTCTTCAACCCATATGTTATCATACTTCAACCAGAAGACCCTTTTCTAAAAATTGAGTTTGACAGAAGGATGCTTTGGGATACCATTTTTTTTCCATTTATAGGACACCTCCCAATTTTCCAACCCCCAAATTAAGAAAACTTAGCTTTGAGGATTCAGCCTCTGAGCTCAAAATGTTGGACATTTTGTCTTTGTTGAATCTTGAGCCTACAGGCTCCACCTCCAAGGAGGTGTATTCCAATTGGTTTGTTCAGGGTCAGCTGACATCAGTTCCGTAAGGCTTCTTATTGGAAGAAGCTAAGTCTCCTGACTGTAGGAAGCTAAGCCTTGTGGCTGAAGGGAGTCTGTTTACAGAGGCAAGGTATCTGCCGTTTTGCTCTCTCCTCAACTATCTCAGCTTACTTCCGTGTAAAAGATGCCCTCAATTTTTAATGTAATGATTTTAGGAAAAGTAGCGTCTTATAGACGGATAAATACAGCAGTTGCATTAAGGTAAGAATTCCATTAAAGAAATCAGTTGCACAGTAACCTATGGCAAATAAATCATTTTCAGTTGCTTAGGAAGGGAAGCATTATGGAATATAGCTTCTTTATTTATGAAGTCAAACACAGGTGCCATGTAGGCAGGGCAGATACAGCATCAGGAATTCTTTCAAGTTATGAACATCTTTACAAAGCCCTGAATAACATTAACACAGCCACAACACAGGAAATGACATACAGCCAGCAGATAATATCCCTCACTGAGGCTTAGGTTCACTCACACAAGCAACTGTAGCTGAAGCATCGGCAGCATCTTACGCTCCTCCTTTCGTCCATACTTAAAGATACTGTTTTCCTCTTCCTTCAATGATTGTCGGTCATTGGTGCATGGCACATCCACAAGCACCTGCATGAAACAATTTTTTCTTTAGAAAAAGGAAACGTTAAATGTTCACACTCCTTTGAAGAAAATACAATTGGATTACTCTGTAGTGCAATCTATATCAGAGGTATATTCCTGTAAATAAGACAATGCTTGCATAGCCAGTGTCATATACCAGTTATACTAGTGAGCTGGGAACAAGGAAAGCCAGTTCGTAAGTCGAGACCCCACTGTACCAGTTATACTAGTGAGCTGGGATCAAGGAAAGCCAAGTTGATGTTCCAACGTTTTTATTTAAATTGTCAAAAAAATCAAATTGTTTTAATTTAAATTGTGATTTAAATAAAATTCACTCTGGTGCTAATAGTTCAGGAATGGAAAGAGACTCCCATTAGACACAGCCAGTTAAAGCTACATATAACACTACTGGAGAGTTATCGGACTGAAAACACCTGCCTTAACTCCAAAAATATAAAACACAGGTCTTTCGGGCTACAGACACATCATCAAAACATTTGAACGGTGCAACTATGTTCTGAACAGGGCAAGTTCATACTTTGTATGAACCTAGGAAAAAATCCAAAAGACTGCATTCAGCATCTATAAATACCAGCTTGCTCTCTATTGTTGGGTGGGTATAATCATCATCATCATCTTAGAACTGTAGAGCTGAAAATAATGTCACCAAAGGCTGCTGAGAACACTCCACAGTCAGAGGATGAGAGGGCAGGTCCTCTCATGGACTGAGAATTTGTTGAGAACCAGGAAACAGAGATTAGGTATCAATGGGCAATTTTCACAATGGAGAGAGGTAAAGAATGGTGTGCCCTAGGAATCTGTCATCAATAACCTGGAGACAGAGATAAATAGTGAGGTGGCCAAGTTTGCAGATGACAGAAAACTTTCCCGGGTAGTGAAGACGAGAAGGAATTGTGAAGAGCTCCAGAAGGATCTCTCCAAACTGGGAGAATGGGTGACAAAACGGCAAATGGGTTTCAACATAAGAAAATGTAAAGTAATGCACATTGGGGGGAGGGGGAATCAAAACTTCAGTTATCAGCTGATGGGTTCTGAGCTGTTGGTGATGAAAGATCTTGGTGTGCTGGTGGACAGCTCAATGAAAGTGCCAACCCACTGTGCAGTGGCAGTGAAGAAGGCCAATTCCAAGCTAGGGATCATTAAAAAGTGGACTGAAAATAAAACAGCCAACATTATAAATGCCATTGAACAAAATGGTGGTAAGGCCACACCTGGAGTGCGCTGATGGGTTCTGAGCTGTTGGTGATGAAAGATCTTGGTGTGCTGGTGGACAGCTCAATGAAAGTGCCAACCCACTGTGCAGTGGCAGTGAAGAAGGCCAATTCCAAGCTAGGGATCATTAAAAAGTGGACTGAAAATAAAACAGCCAACATTATAAATGCCATTGAACAAAATGGTGGTAAGGCCGCACCTGGAGTGGTGCGTAGTTCTGGTCGCTGCACCTCAAAAAAGACATAGTGGAACTGGGAAAAGTGCAGAAGAGAGCAACTAAAATGATGACTGGGCTGGGGCATCTCCCTTATGAGGAAAGGCTACAGCGTTTGGGGCTCTTTAGTCTAGAGAAAAGGTGCCTGAGGCGGGGACATGATTGAGACGCATAAAATTATGCAGGGGATGGATGATGTGGATAGAGGGAAGCTCTATTCCCTCTCACGGATTACTAGAACCAGGGGACATCCACTCAAATTGAGTGTTGAGAAAGCGAGAACAGACAAAAGAAAATATTTCTTTGCCCAGCATGTTGTTAAGTCTGTGGAACTCCTTGCCAAAGGATGTGGTGATTGCATCTGGCCTAGATGCCTTTAAAAGGGGATTGGACAGATTTCTGGAGGAAAAGTCCATCACTGGTTGCAATCCATGATGGGGATGTACAATCTCCAGGGATAAAAAGAAGGTACTTCAAAATGACAGATGCAGGGGAAGGGTATTAGGAGACAGGTATCTAGCTGTCTCGTGTGCTCCCCAAGGCATCTGGTGGGGTCACTGTGAGATACAGGGAAGCTGGACTAGATAGGCTCTTGGCCTCATCCAGCAGGGCTCTTCTCATGTTCTTGCATCCCTATGACATCAGCTATAATACCACTTACCCTATCATAACATGTGTCATTCAGGTCACGCCAATTTCTCCCATCCTTTCTTGTGATCTTTACTTTATTGATAAGTTGTTCAGGAAGATAGCTGTGGAGAATCCTATGCAGCCGGTCAATGCGAGAAGCAGAGATATCATTGACTGCCAGTTCTCCTGTTACAAGAAAGACAGGGGCATGATTCAGAGGCAGCCAAATATTCAGATTTCCCAAGGGATATGATGGTTATATAGTACTCTCTCACACTGGTTCTCACACAAAAGTTCCCACCACCAACCACCACACCATTTCATGTTTCCTGTATTTAAGGAACATCTCCATAGATATGGAGGAGTTCTTGTTCTTAGAACCAGGAGAGGACATGCCCAGTTTCCTGACAGCTCCAGGGCAAAGTGCCCTGCTTGACCTACACTCTTCAGCTTTGAAAGTTGACACTGCTACCCTCTGACTTGGATTATTCCATTCCAGAATCGCAGGCAGATTTGCACCACCAGAACTAACAGCTCTTAAAGCTGACAGGAGGCCCTTTCACAGAAGGCTTTGCTTACAGAAAAGAGAGCTGCAGTTCTGTTTAATGCTCCACCTGCAACTGGCAGAGGATGAAGCAACATTCAAACATAGTCCTGGGAAGCTCAGTCCAAAGATTCCTAAGCAGCTTTCTACAGTGCTACCTTGAACCTGGTCCTGGCAAAATAAGCACTGGAACTCCAGTTTCTCTGAATTTAACTTTGCTAGAATGTGAACTTTGTCTCAGAATCCAAACCCTTGCCTATAAGCATATCCAACTGAGCTGACCACTTGGGACACGGCAGGGGAGATTTCTATCAATTACCCTACACACACCAAGGCACAATGTACAAGAAGAAAACAAAATGTGTCACGCTAGTATCTCCAGATGACCCAAACAAGTGAGTTGCAATTCGTCCAAAGGCAAGTGATCCAGGTTTCATCTCCTGAAAGCGGAAATAGAGAGGTTACTTACCAGTAACCATAGTTCTTCAAGTGGTCCTCTGTGAATCCACACAAATGGGTTTTACTGCACCTGCGCAGGACTCCTTAGAATATTCTAGAGCTTAAAAAGACGTAATTAGTAGGAGGTTGCCCTGTGGCGCACATGCTCTGCCTGCCCGAAATACCTCAGTTCCAGACGTAATTAGTAGGAGGTTGCCCTGTGGTGCACATGCTCTGCTTGCCCGGAATACCTCAGTTCCGGAATGTCCGCCTCTGTCAAGGCTCTGACTGAAACAAAGCACAAGAACACCAAGTGACGGACAGTGGGGAAGATGGGCGGTATGTGAGGATTCACAGAAGACCACTTGTCTGCGCTGAGCAGGTGGGAACGAAAAGGGGGGACCGGGGAAGATTGAGGAGGGTTGGATCTTTCAGGCGCCAGAGCTGGAGGTTTGTAGGGCTGATAGGGTTGCTAGCATTGTTGCTGAAAGGTAAAGGGCCTGCACGATTGGTTACATTGTTGGTATCTGGGCTGTTGGGTAGAGTAGGAATGGGCAGTCTTGTGCATCTTGTGCAAATTGTCCATCACCTCATCCGTCTTCTCATTAAAAATACCAACATCATCAAATGGGAGATCCTCAATGCGGGATCTAGTATCATCATTGATCCCTGACAACATCATCAAATGGGAGATCCTCAATGTGGGATCTAGTATCATCATTGATCCCTGCGAAATGCAACCAAGCGTGCCTTCTGAGGGCAATAGCTGAGGCTAAATCCTTCGAGGCAGCGTCAGCTGTGTGGCAAGATATGAGACGCTGCTGTTTAGCTAGTGTTGTGGCCTCAAGATGAGTGTTGAGGGCAGAGGTTCTGGTCTCCTTGGAAATGGGAGATCCTCAATGTGGGATCTAGTATCATCATTGATCCCTGCGAAATGCAACCAAGCGTGCCTTCTGAGGGCAATAGCTGAGGCTAAATCCTTCGAGGCAGCGTCAGCTGTGTGGCAAGATATGAGACGCTGCTGTTTAGCTAGTGTTGTGGCCTCAAGATGAGTGTTGAGGGCAGAGGTTCTGGTCTCCTTGGGAGCAGCCTGAAGGACTGGGAGGATCTTGCTCCACAGTTGTCACTGATAGGCTCCCATCATGGCTTGGTAATTTGAGACTCTCATAAGAAAGGAGGCCAGAGAATAGAGGTGATGGCCTAAGACATCCAACTTTCTGCCTTCCCTGTTGGTACGAGTGACTGGAGATTGATTACCTGCACGGGACTGATTTGACTACACTATAATGGAGTTTGGAGCAGGATGTTTCACGAGAAAAGCTGTGTTGGATCCATGCGTTATTTAGTGATTCTCAATGCGTCAAGAGATTTGAGTAGATATAGACAGCTTGTCCGATGACTCCTTGATAAGGTCCAAAAGGGCTGGTATGAATGCCAGACTCAACAGAGGGGATTTCTCTTGATTTATGTCGTCAAAGACAAGTTCCTTTTTGGGAGGTGGAGGCTGTTCGATGTTGAGTTCCAAAGATTCGGCCATACGGAGAACGAGCTGGGAATAAGATGTAAAGTCCTCAGATGGAGACGGTGGGTTTCAGTACATTTGACTGGGACTCACTAGAAGCTTCCAAAGGCAGATCCTGATCCTGCTCAGAAGCTGTCGAGATTGGAGTCTCTCAAGAGAAGAAGTGAAGGGGAATGATGATGGTCCCAAGGTGAGTGAGTCAAGGTTAAAATCTGTGGAATCAAAGTTGAAGCATGACATGAGTGAGACCTATGGACAACAGTAGCCGGTGGCAGGGAGGATAAACGTGCATGTTTCGCTGGTACCAGCTCCGGTCAGGGATCTCAGATGGGGATAATCTGTGTTTGGAAGCAGATATTTTTCGGTGTCGGCATCGCAGGGTCGGGCTTGTAATACGCTCGGTATGAACATTGAGAGGGAGGTGGTGAAAGAGATTAAGAAGATGCGGGAGAGGCATACCTATAATGCACGTGCCTAGGCCACCCATAATAATCCTCAACATAGTGGTGATCGAGCTCATTCAACCTGCATCGGTGTCGATCGCTACGCTGACCCTCATCAGAATAAAGAGGTTCACCATATTCAGAAATCATGTGGTGTCGAGACGAGCGCGGCACAAGAATCACCTCCCGATACTGAGAATACTGTCGGGATGGAGAGATGTGGTGCCGTTTAGCAGATCGCTTCCGTGGAGGAGACTGAAAAAGTGATGCCTCCGGGTTGGAAAGTTGGATCACTGTTGCCCACCCAATAGAAATAGGGCTAAAATGGGCCAAGGCCGGGCTGGAGATAACGTCAGCCTCAGAGCGGTCATGAGATGGTGACAAGCTTGGTACCAATGCCGAGGCTTGAGCCTGAGGAAGTGGTCCCACCTCTCCAGCTTCAGAAAGGGAATCTGGGTCCGAAACGTCCCTCAATGACTCTTCCAAAATAGGAGAGGGGAGGGAGATGTGAACCGTTTGAGGTTCACGGGTTTATGAGACTTAGAGACCCGCTTAGCTTTCTTTTAACCGTGTCCTTCTTTTTCTTAGGAGAGAGGTCTTTGGTAGAGACCAAAGGTGACCTTGACATCGAAGTCAACATCGATGCCGAGACAGTCTTAGGGCTGGAAGCTTTGGGTTCCATTGCGGGGCCAGCAGGAGGACTAGCTACAGGGTTGGAAGGCCGTAGGGACTTTTCCCAAAGATACGACCAAAGTCGTTCCAAGCGAAGCTTGAGGGCTGGCTTGGTTAATTTCTTACACTCCACGCAGGAGTTGATCTGATGTCTCTCTCCCAGGCAAAACAAGCAGCGATGGTGGCCATCAGTGAATGGAATTTTGTTGGCACACGATATGCACCTCCTGAAAGGACCCGAAGAGGCCATAAAAGAGAGGTGGGAAACAGGGGAAAATTGTTGGGGAGGGGGGAAGAAAAGGGTACCTCACGGGGAATATCCAAGTCCAAGATCCAAACGCTTAACGATAAACAGTCCAAAGATCAGAAAGCCGTAATCAAACCATCAACAAAGCCAAGTCCGTGACAAGATTGGGAAACCATTAAACAAGCCAAAGATCAAAAACAGTTGAATCAAAATGGAAGAAACTCTAATTGCTAAAGGAGTCCGAACTCAGTGGCGGCTAAAAGGAACGGAGATATTTCGGGCAAGCGGAGCATCCACGCCATGGGGCAACATCCTACTAATTACTTCTTTTTAAGCTCTAGAATGTTCCAAGGAGTACCTGCGCAGGCACAGTAAAACCCATTTGTATGCATTCACAGAGGCCATGAAGAAGTATATTTTCTCTGTGACCCAGCCATGTCAGGACACATGGATTGGGGCCCAACCCCTCCTGTACCCTTTTCTGATACTTGTACCTGATTTTTGTCTATCTTGGCATTTGTACATTTTCAGATTGCTGTGGAAAAACTCCACTCCTACAAGTGCAGAAATACGAACAGCTATGATTTAGGGTGCAGGATTATACAGCATAATTAGAATTATTGGCACATCTCCATAAAACATATTCTGCAGAACAAAAGTGGTTTGTGTTTTTAATGTTTCCAACCAGTGTTGACTACACCATGGAGTTCCATTTGAACTAGGAGGGGCAAAGGCAAGAAAAGAAGGTTACTTACGACAGCATCCAGTCTGTAGAATTGCCAGCGTCTTCCCACCTGGTGCTGCACAAAGGTCAAGGACTAAATCACCAGGTTGTACATTGAGAGCCAAGACAGGTAAGACAGATGCAGCATTGAGGAGGTAGTAGCCCAGAATTCCTAGTATATCTGGTCTAAAACAGAAGGAAATGCATGAAACCTAAGTACCCAAGGTAGTATGAGCAACACAGTTTAAAATGAACAATGTGGGGCAAAAAAACACTCTACAGATTTATTTTAAAATCATTGTTTCATAAAATAGATTAGTAATAAAAATGGATTTTAAAATGTCTAACTCCAGAACTAAATGGTGCAAGTGATTATACAGGCAATGTCAGGAAACCAAAGATGGCCCAGTCACCTCACTGAAGAGCTAAATGTTGTTGGCAATATATGAGTGAATGACCACAACATAACAAGCGCAGCTCATTGGGTAGACTAAAATTAGCCTGTCAACACTGTTCAGTACAGTACTTTCCCCTCTTTAATCAAATATGTAAAAGACTTACATGCTATAGACATTCAAGAGAAGTATCTGCATGTGCAACTTCATATCATTTAAGGTGTTTTTTCTTAGTATTTTCATTTGAATACTTATGAGCTTTTGTGATACTAAAGGCTGTAAGGACATTTTGGGAAGCAAAGTCAATACACATTAAATAAATATGCGAAACCAGGTCATGCTCTATTTCAAACACCGGGAGGTGGGGGGGGACTTGCAAGGAATATCAAAATTTTTCCAAAAAAGCCAGTTTAAAATACATTGGCTGCACAGAAAGGTAGTAGCTGAATGGTAGTGTAAATGCTTTGCCTGCAAAATGTTCCAGTTTATAATCTTGGCATCTTCTGATGAAGCTAAGAAAAAAAGCGCTAGACAGCTGCTGCCAGGCATTGAGGTAGGTAGAGCTATTGTCTGACCTCAGCATAAGAGCATGAGGCGGCTCCCTGGATCCTTTACTTACTAGTGCCTGACTCACATTCCTAAAATTTACTCCTAAAAAGCCCTATTATTTTTGGAACAGACCTTGACAACTTTGAAGGTATAATAGAAGTTCCAATTCTGGTTTTCTTTTGGTCTCACTTTTCTAATCTCTATTTTTCCCTGCCTGATATCTACATCATATTCGCGTGTGCGCGTGCACACACACACACAAGGAAAAGGAGGAAGTTTTAGACCAACAGTCAGCAACCCATGGCACTTACCAGGAGCGCAGCTTCTGTCAACCCTAACTGATGACCATGTTAACTTCGACTGCATAGCTTGTTGTGAGTTGAGTCAGAATGATTTAGAACCTGAACCACCGGATGACCTACTTCTGCCTGCCTTTGAGACTGAAGGTGAATTATTTGTAGCAGATTTTCATCTTGACCCACAGATACTGAAGATGGCTCTTTTGGGAACTGGACTGGCTTTGAAGAAAGAGCCCAGTACTTGCTGATAAAACCTAGGATAATGCTTGTGGTCTTTTTTGGCATTTTACACAGCATGGGGTTTTATAGGCTGCATTTTGCTCAAATGCATCATACAAATGCTGAACTAACTAGAAAGATGTAATGCTTATTAACAACAATAATAGCAGTAATGCATCATCAAGTCAGTTCTGACATGGAGACCCCCATTCCATGGTTTTCTAGGCAGAAAGTACTCAGAAACAGTTAGCCAATCCCTCCTTCTGGTGGTGCTCTGGGACCATGCAGCTGTTCAAGGTCACACAGGTGAAAGGATAAGCAAACTTGCCATCCACACATTTTCCAGGTGATCTTAGCTAATTCCTCTCTTGGAAGACACAGCAGAGATTTGAACTCCACAGTGAGGCATTGCAACAGTTATACTAGCTCCATTAATGTGTATGACCCACATACAGTGCAGCTCAGGGCTGGACCAAGACATTCACTGTCTGAAGCAAAGAACAGTAATTGAGTCTTCTCATTTTATGTACAGAAAATGACCAGACTAGCAGCTGAATCCTTCTCAAACAGCCTCCAATGCAGCTGAGAGTAACCAACTTAGAGGAAACAGAGCAAGCTGCGTAACTCAGCCCTCCAACATCTTGCTGCCACTTAATATGCCTCAGCATCCACTATCTGAGGCAGCAGCTTCATTTTGCTGTATAGTGGGTTCTGCCAGGAAAAGAAAACCAATGACAGTCAAAGACAACTCTCAGGGGATTAGGTATCATCCTTCTCCCTTTCTACAGTCTGGGAGCAAAGACAGTATCCATACTCTACTAACTACAAAAGGTTTGGGGGGGAGGAGCAGGCTTGCCATTCAGAAATGCTAAATTGTTCCTAAATACACACAAAACCAGGCACATACTTAGCTTGAGGAAAAAGACTGATATCCCCTCTGGGGAATGTATAACACTTGATGTTGGGACTGATGAAAGAAACAGGCTGGTCTCGGGGCTCGCAAAGTTCAGTCTGAGTTTCTGGGGATAAAACTTGCTCTCTTGCACCTTGTTCAGCCATGGAATCTAGATCCTTTACTGCGTTTTGAGCTTCCCAGATGAAATCTATTGCATTCAGGTCTTCTAACTGCTGAGTGACCAGCTTTACATCACAGAAATTGTTGAAAAGAGCTCCGTATTTCTGTTCTGACAGAAGGCTGATGCGGATAGACGGCCAGAGGCTGCCAAATTGTGTTCCATAGTTCATATCGAAGATCTGCAGAGCCATCCGGGTGGCAGGAATCCGAGGAGTAGTGGTTGCCTTCATAAGAATTAAAATATTGTACACGTGAACAATTTGAAGTCCCCAGTGATGATTTTTTTAAAAACAGTATTTCCATAGTTTAAGGTTCACCTAGCATAGGATTACACACACCCTACATTTACCCCCTCTAAAGAGATCTAGAAAACTATCACTAGGAACTGAGCCTTCTCGGTGGTGGCCACAATGCATAGAATGCATTACCTGCAGATATACATATACCAGGTTCCCTCTCTTCTGGCCTTTAGGAAATAGATAAAAACTATTTGGTTTGAAGACGCCTCCAGAAACATCTTACACCTTTGACATCCTCATGGACCCATGAATTGGATATTAATTTTGATTGGCCATCTAGCACCTTGTTTATTTGATATTCTGGGTTATTAATGTTTTGGTCTGGATCTTATTATTTATGTCTTTGTGGGTTGCGGTGGATAGTTGTGTTTTTCAATGCTGTTAGCTGCCTAGAGTAGTGCTTAGATGGGTGGGGTACAAACGTAATGAATAAAATCAAAATAAATAATGCTTGTTCATGAAGCTCACTGGCTATACACGCAGATAAGCTGCACTCTCTCTTGTGAGCATAAAAATGGATTTGGGAAAAATACATAAAATGCCACCTGGAACAATTTGGAGAAAAGGTGGAAGAGTAATTAAAATGGACAGTTTTACTGATTTGAAAATCTTGATTCTTTGCTTTCGTGCAGGACTGCAGAACAAAAACTGCAACAAAATGAACAGTAGAATGTAGGCAGAGACAACCAAGATTGCTTGGAGGTACACAAAAGCCCAGTGTAGATCGTATATATTTTCTAAATCTAAGAGACAAAATTTATCAATTTCCATTTCATGTATTTCTCTGCAAACAAGATGTCAAAGATGTTCTTGCAGTTAGCAGCAGTTTGGAGAGATCTACATACTCTCCAAACTCTCCAGACACAACCACCTTCTACTGGCGCAACCCAGAGTAGAAACATAAGCTCAAGAGATCTGAATGTTCAAACAGATCAGGACACATTTCAAGGAATTATTGCTTGCAACAGTAGTTCAAGTCAGATGCCTTTGAACATGGAAACTGGGTCCTTTGAGGAAACTGTCAGAACTGGCTTTACAACTATATTTTTTTATTCCAACAATACATAATGCTGAATTCTGGCTATCTCAAATGCATTATTTTATATCCAGTATCACTATGTGTAAAAATAGTCACCAAAAAATCTGACTCGAAAAGTGATAAAAAATGTAGTCAGCCCCAAATTATCTACCATGTTTCCCCAAAAATAAGACAGGGTCTTGAAAATCATACTAGGGCTTATTTTCAGGTTAGGTCTTATTTTCAGGGAAACAGGGTAATGCTTCTGCTTGGCTTGGAAATACTGAAACAGTGATTCTACTCACTACCGTACATTCTAATCCAGAAAGACAATCTGACAGCACTGCTACTCTTAAACTCATTATACATTTTTGTTGCTATATGACTCCCAACAAGAAAAGTCTAATAAATTAAGTCTGTAAATCCCATATCCATTCACCTAGCCTAGGAACAACCCTTACTGAATTAAATAAGAACTTTTTCAGAGTGTTAGAGTTGTTTAATAAGGCTGTGAAACTCTATACACACCTATTCTGCAATTGCTTTAAAACATATGGGAGGTAAGTAAAAAAGTATAGGATGTGGCCCTAAAATTACAATATATATATTTATTGAAAATACTGCTTGCTCTTCTGCAATTTACAATTGGCCCACTACAATTATTAAAAAGAAATTCAAAGGTATTAAAAATACATACATAGGGCAGTTGAACGATACCACCTCAATCCAATCAAAAGTTAAGTCCTGGGATGTTTGATGGGTTGGGCTTAAACTTAATTTCATCATAATGACTCAATAAAACCCACTGAGCCTTCTTCCACAGCAAGGAGGAGGGGAACTTGCTGAACCCCGCCATGCTTTTTTTATTCTGAAAGAAAAACAATCGCAATTTTCCGTAAATGTATCTGAATAGTAAAATTTAATTTCTTACCGACACGCCCCAAAGAGGGAAGAAAGTCGGAATTCGCCCGCAGCTCTTTGTTTACAAAGAAAACAGGCTGGGGGGTGAGGGAAGAAAGCAACTGGCGTGCATGCTTTTACTCACTATATTACCTACACTACAGGATCCACGGAAAATGCTGCCGAAAAGGGCGCTGTTCTTCTCTACGGTATTAACTCCGCTTCCCTCCCACTCACCCATTTCTTCTTCTGGGGGTGGCCACGGCGGCAGGGAGCTGAGGTGAAGAACAAGCGGGTGAGCGAAGGCGCCTGTTCCCTCAGCAGCTGCCGGAGAAGCCGCCTTCCTCTCCCAACGTGCAAGGTCGCCGCCATTGAGCATCCCCACCGTCAGCAACCCTCCCATAGGCTGGGGCCGCCTGACGCGAAAGCTCCGGCTCCGGCGCGGCTGCGTGCGCTTCCCTCTGCCGAAGGCCCCGCCCCCGGTCCGCCCAGGCTGAAAGGGCCGACGGGACAGCCGGATCGATCCGAGAGAGCGTAAAGACCGTCCTATGGCCGCGGCATCCTTTTAAGTACGGTGCGCAATTTTGAGCTGGTACGTACCCCAAATGGACGGTGGGAAGCTACCTTCTGATTTGCCCAAAGCAAAAATAGAAAGCTTTCGTCCCTTCTTCTGCCAAGTACTTGCAAAGGGGAAAAATGTAGCCGATTGCCATGTCTTGCACTAGTGTTCACGTCTATGTACCTGCTCCTTGATTAAATGAAGTAAGATCTCTTTTCACTTCCCATCTAAAAATCCACTATACAGGTAACACCACATCACGAAGTTCTAAACACGTGAAGACCAAGTGTTTGCGTACAGAACATGGACAGAGTTCCTACTCCTGTCGTCTGAAGATGCCGGCCACAGAGATTGGCGAAACGTCAGGAAGACACAGCCAGAAAGCCCGAAAAACCCACAACAACCATCTAAACACCCGATTTTTGCAAGGGAAGGGGTCCTAACCATCACTAGGGATCAGGCTGCTCATGGCATTTTCAGCAGAACGCTGTCGTTTCCATTTTGGTAATGGGAGTCTGGCTTTGGCAACTGTACTGATGATTAAGTTGAAGGATCAAGTTGTCATTAATTAGATTATAGAAACCTAACATTTCTATAGGTTTCTGGCTATAGAAATTTTTGAAAAAGCTGATGACCACTGTCTTCTCAGAAACATGCTTCAGTCTGCTCATTGTCTCCTGAATGGACTGGTTAAATAATATGCCCATAAATGGGAACTTTATCACTTATTTCTACACATTTGCAAAATGCAGCAAATCTAGAAAGATCATGAAAAAGTTGCCTACTGTACTGACTCGAAGGAAGAAAGTTATGCACAGTAAACATCCAAGTTCAAGTCTGTCAAACTGACTATGTTGTTCAGACCTCAGGTTCATCAGTAGAGCATAATTCTTTAATAGAAACACATAACTTTGTTTTTGGGCATTGTTCAGAAACTTTGTTTCTGATCTTTAATAACATGACCTTGAGAACAGGCTTCTAAAACTACTTGATGAGGTATGCCTTGTTTTTTGGAATTCAAGGCTGAGTGACTGCTCCAAACATGTTCAGATGGTCTGGATTTTCTCTATTTACTGGAAATCTAGTTTTTAGGGTATGAACATTTATGTCAAAGGGACTAATCTATTTTTGACAAAGTTGTGTGACATCTATTTCATGTCCTAATTTCTGCAAACCTGGTAGCCTGCTTCTGAGTTGGCTATCCTCCTATATCTGAAAGAACATGTTCCAGCATCCATTGAGATACAGTGGGGTCTTGACTTAAGAACGGCTCGAGTTAAGATCATTTTGACTTAAGAACCACTCTCACAGGAAAATATTGACTTGACTTACATACTTAGATTTAAGAACTAAAAAAACCCACGTGGGAGGCAGGGAAAGTGCAAAATTTGAACTTTCAGTTAACTGTTGGCCAGTGAAAAGGGTGCCTGTCTGCTTCCTCACTCCTCCCAGCGTTTAGAGAGTGGATTGGGAGACAGTCTTCAGACTGCCTGGTACTTGTACAGTGGGGTCTTGACTTGAGAACTTAATCCGTATTGGAAGGTGGTTCTCAAGTCAAAAAGTCTGTAAGTCAAGTCTCCATTGACCTACAGTGCATTGAAAACCGATTAATCCCGTAACAGGCCGTTTTTGTTCCATTTTGGTTTTTTTCTGGTCTGTAAGTCAAATCTCAGTCTGTAAGTCAAACCTAAATTTTGCGTCCAGAGAAGTCTGTAACTCAAAAAGTCTGTAAGTCAAGCTGTCTGTAAGTCAAGGGTCCACTGTACTGCCTGGACTGTATTTTCCCTGCCTTCCCATAACTTGATGAGGTATGCCTTGTTTTTTGGAATTCAAGGCTGAGTGACTGCTCCAAACATGTTCAGATGGTCTGGATTTTCTCTATTTACTGGAAATCTAGTTTTTAGGGTATGAACATTTATGTCAAAGGGACTAACCTATTTTTGACAAAGTTGTGTGACATCTATTTCATGTCCTAATTTCTGCAAACCTGGTAGCCTGCTTCTGAGTTGGCTATCCTCCTATATCTGAAAGAACGTGTTTCAGCATCCATTGAGATGTCCTGAGACAGAATCTTAAGGTAAGGGCGAAACCAGGCCAACAAAGTACCTACCTGCTTTTAGCGTGAGAATAGCTGCATGCACCCACATGGACACATAAACACCAGTTTTGTAGCAAAGCAGCAGAGGCTTTATATGTAGAACTATGCAAATATACATAATGGTAGAGGCTCTTTCTCTGCAATTTAGTCAGATTTTCAATTTTTCTTGCTTCAAAGGAACTTCCTTTAGCAGGGGAATGAAGATAAAGGAAGCCAAATAGATATCTGAAGAAATGCAACAGGAACACGTACAAAGGAATTGTTTATGACCTTAAAACCAAACACTCTCCCAGCATCTAACCACGTTGCCATTTCTGTATTATAATCCAACATGGTGGAGCAAAGAAATCCAATGCAGTTAGGCCATGAAGTGTACTGAGCAGATGAATCACCATATAAGGTATAAGCTCTGAAAGTAGCACTATTGCCAACTGGATAGAAGCTGGCAGGGAGTTTTTACATCTCATTTTCCCCCTTCCTTTAAAAATATTTCCCTTCTCATTGCTTCATAATGCACGGCTGCATAGAGGGCAGGGTGGCTTCTTCTTTTGGCACGTTCACAGCAGCTCCCTCACCTTGCTTTTTGCTGTCTCCACTGTCACACTGATAGAGAAACAATGATGATGGTCACAACTGCCACCACTTATGGGTAGACTGAGAGGGAGACTTGTTATAATCCAGAAGATCATGCTCTTAGAAACATTAGCTCTATCTATAATATGCTTTCCTTGTCTCTTCTCAGTTACTGAAGCTAATTATTCTGATCTGACTTGGATTTTTTTAATCTTTTAAACCAAGGAAATAAAGATCTACATGCAATTACATGCAATTCAAAGTCATAAAAACTAGACACAGAAGTACTGCATATCATTTATGCTTCATCTCCAGGCACGCTAAGATGCTTCTTACTACCCAATAATAAACAAACACGTTCATGTTTGGCAGGAAATAGATTTAATATGTGAATGTACAGTTACTCCGTTAGCAGTTGTAAATCTTCCACAAAACACCGATCCTGATAACTGCATTATTACAGACGAACTTGTTCTATTTTTCTAAAACCACAGATGAGGAGCAGCATATCAGTTGAAACAGAACATACTCAGGTTTCCATCATGTATGCAGGAAGATGCTTATATGAACATTTATTTCAGCTTGGTGAAGAGTTTTTCAGCCACCTAAAAACCCAAAAATAGACACATTGGGTAAAAACAGGAGCTTCCTTAACAACACGCACATTAGTCTTGCTCTCTTTCGGAGACAACAGGCTTCTTGCACTATATACCTATGTACTGTTACCTTCTTCCAGTCTGGTTGACGATTCCTCAATAGCAGGAGGCATATTATTTCCTTCATAAAACCTTCACATTATTACTATAAACTATTTCTAGGAAACTAACAAAAGACAACAAATTTGAGAACCACACAGTTTATCCTATGAAGCTGAAAACTATGTAAAACCTATGAAACAAATATCAGTGCTTCAATTATTTTAATTAAGCTAATATCCAGATCAATAATTTTTTATTTGATATCAGTGTGGCCTGCATAAAGTTTTTATGGTAAAACACTAGAGAAATAAGACTCATTCTCACAGGCAAAAGCAAACATTTATAATTGAAAGTCATTCTAAAAAATACTTACACAATGATCTCTAGTTCTCAAAAAGTCAATGAGCTCATCTGAACACGTCTCTTCTGTATGGGATCTGGAATTCACTCGAGCCTCACACTCATCAAGCACTTCACGGAATTTCACACATTTTTCTAGCTTTTCACATTCTTCTCTAATAACAGTTAAAGGATCCTGGGGGGAAAAGCAACCTATAAATATCGACCAGATATTAATGCAGATGGCGCAATACTAAAAGGGATGTTTATTCTTACCACTTCAACAAACAGAAGTAAAAACTTACTATTCTTAACCCCAGACAGATGGCTGATTATTTACATATGCCAAAGTTAAATGGGATATATCTCAGTGGTAAATTACCATTCACTAAATCAACATATTTATTGCATTTTGTGTACCAAATTGGTGTGTAATGAGGAATAAAATGTTGATATCTTAACTAGTATCAACTCGGACCAGCGTTCCTGCACTCGGGAGGAGCCGAAGACTATCTGCTGGCCACACCTCACTGTGTGAGAGACAGTGGGACTATGGTTGGGCCCCTGCTGGCTGCCAACTCTTTTCCAAGGGAGCTGGTTCAGTCTCCCTCTATTTCTGCAGGACTGGGCCCTGCTGCTCCTGGCTGCCTCACCCCCCTCTCAACATGAACCACATGGAGATAAGGGGCTTTAGAAAGATTTTTTTATTTTAAAATTGTGATTGTTAATTGCCATCAATTAAGAGAGACCCACAGTGGATTTGAGGGAACAGGAAGGGGGGAGGGTGTTGGAGGAGGCAGCCATTGAGGTAGTGCTGGGTAGGGGAAAGAATGGCAGTGGGGGTAGAACATGCCCACACAGGAGAAGAGAAGGTAGATATCTTACATCTGTCCCCTCTTCTAGTCCTACCCCCAGCCAGATGGTATCAGGTGACCATATCAGCAAACCCTCGAGTCACACGGTGCTGTTGATGAACAACAGGTCAGTACAAAATAAGACTGCCCTCATCCATGATGTAATTCTGGATGAGGGTGCTGACCTGGCGTGCATTACAGTACTGAGACCTGGGTGGGAGAGGAGGGCGGTGTCCCCCTCTCCCAGCTGTGTCCGCCTGGGTACTCGGTCCAACACCAATGTCGCTCAGAGGGTCTGGGAGGGGGAGTTGCTATAGTCTATAGGAGTTCTATCTCCTTGACCAAGCTTCCTATCCCTTTGAGAGGAGGTCTTGAGGGCCTGTATTGTGTGTTGGGCTTGCGAGACAGATTAGGGATTCTGTTGGTGTACCGCCCATCCTGCTGCGTACCAACAGTCTCCCTGCCTGAGCTGACAGAGGTAGTCT